GGACGCTACAGCGCCCATCATTAAGGAAGACTGGTATCGGCATTGTCTACAAAGCATATACGCATTTGTCAATGAAAACTCCATGAACATTCCGGGAACTGTATTTGACACACATAGGCACAACACCAACAATGGCATAGCACCAGATGCCGATCCTTGTCGATGATCTATAGACAAATAACAGCGTTATAGACCACATCTTGGTAGATACATGACGTCAAAATTTCTGTGACGTGATGCGGAGCATCCATGCCCATGTCTGGTGTCACTATATTTCGTGTGCAACAGCATGGTGTAGGCGCTTGATATTTTGTACAAATGCATGCGTTCTTTCTAATAAACTTCTCAGTGCGAGTAAGCACCTGTCCCATCGTTTCTTTGTCGTCATGTTCTGATCCTGTTTTCAAAAGAAAAAAAAAAACGCATGCTTTCTTTTGCTGTGCTTGTCAGCTATATGTGGCCTTGAACACAGGGGACTTTCTCAAGTGTCATGAGCTACGCGAGAGACGTGTACAGTGGTGCACTTTTCTCTTTATTCTTTTGTAGGTTACGATGTTTTCTATTCCTATATGTGTATGCGAAGCCCACGCCGCGCCGCACGGAATTATAGCGTGCATTTCTCTCAGTGAAAAAAAAGAATCAGTAAAAATGTTTATTACATTAAATTTGTTTACGAGCATATTGTTGAGCCCCGCACGAGGCGCGGCTTGTTGGTGTGCTATCAATGACAAACCGACATATTCGTACTTACAGTTGCACCAAGTTACAGCTTTCTTCACTGCGACTTGTCTTCTGTCTTCTGGTGCTTTTTTCTTTTTCGCTCCAAAGAGGCTGTTCGGGTTCACACAAGTTAGCCCACGAACACATTGTGTTACAGCTGCTAGCGCTAGCGCTGTTATCGGCTACACTAAATGAACAATACTCAAAGATATGTGATCTGTAAGTGCGTATGAAAATATCGATCACTTAGAGCTTCATATGCGGCAATCTATGTATATGTGAGCATACCATGCACTGAACTATGTCCTAATGCACTCTGCTCATTCTTCATATCTCACATATCGCACATGTATGCAGTGCTGATTTTTTTTTTTTTTGCCTTCCCTTGTTGTTTTCCCGTATTATATATACTGTAGCGAGAGGAATGAACGAACAGAAACGTGAGGCGAACGACTGTTTACTCGGTCGTAGCAGTCACTCACTTCAACGCCTACTTTTTCAGCCACCAACTCAGCGAGGCATCACCTTCTTCCCAAAAAAACAAAAACAAAAACGAAGAAGCATTGTATGAATCCCGCGGCTTTGAGACACAGTGGAAGGTAGCTAAAAACGTCTATGTCCGTTGAAAAGTACGAGGGTGGGCTTCCTTCTAGCTATGACACTTGCGTAATGACAAGCACATTCTCCTGTGGAATCTGTGATCTTTCAGACAACATTTCAACGACGCGAAATCGAGAGAGAGAGAGAGAGAGAAAGAAATGAAAACCTGGCTCTCCCTCTCCTATAGCCCCAGATTATCTTTCCCTCGACCGCTGTAGCGCTGTTTGGAGGAGAGTGACGAAGACCGGGTTACGCTCAGGTCACAATGTGCGCGCCCTCATGCACACACGAGATCACATATTGGTGCCGAAAGCATCTCGGCAAGCTGTACTACGAATCTATCCCTCGGAAGCCCCGAAGAGAGCCCCATTCTTTATATTAAGCCATTGTGTGACACCGATAGCCAGCCGGAGTGTTTATACGAACCCTCTCCCTTCGTCTTCTTCTTCCGTACTTTCTAGTTTCACGCGAGACTAAGTGCAGACTCGCGACGCGAGGAGTAACAGACAACCTGGAATGAGAACGAGTTTTGTAGTTTTAGTTGTGGATGAAGAAAGAGAATAAACGTTTTGTCCTGTTGATCCCTATTTCTTTCTCCCTTCCTCGCGCTCTCACGAAGAAAAGATTAGGCGATTTTCTCTGACCGAGACGAAGGGTTTCGCTTCGAGTCAGAAACAGCGTACACAAGCCGAGAGGTGACACCATCGCGTCGCCAGTGCGTCAGGGTGAGTACGTTGACGACTTTGTCGTGAGAAGACGCATTGCTAATACGTTATTTAGAAGGTTACGGTAATGCGGTGCGCAAACACGGCAGTCCACCACGGTGGAGCAGTATAGTCATGATGCTCGGCTGGTGACCCGTAGGTTGCGAGTTCGATTCCTGTCGCGGTGGTCACACTTAAAAGGAGGCGAAATGGTAGATGTCCCTGTACTGTGCGATGTCTGTGCATGGTAAAGAACAACTGATAGTCGAAAATAGTCAGAGCCCTTCACTATGACGTCTCTCGTTATGATATTGTGGTTTTGAGACGTAAAAACCGAGGCTTTATTATTAATATATACGATTCAAGTTGATAGTACCACTCCTCCTTTCTTGGTAGTTGTGTTTTTACCAGTGAAGGCACTCAAACGCGTTAAAGGATTTCTTATCCAAAATTACTTAGGGTTTGTAACACTTCGCTGTAGCCTCTGACGTCACGAATGTGTCAACGAGAAAAGTGTCGTTCGGGGTATGCTCTGTCACTGGAAATGGGAGCGACAGTAGCACGACGAGCGAGAAAGGAACAGTGCCTTGCCGTATTTGCATACCGTACTTGCTTAACTTGCTAATAGATTCTATTTGAATCTGAGGTTTTACGCGCCAAAACCTCGATGTGTTCATGGGGGACGCCACAGTGTAACGCTCGGCACATTTCGACCGCCTTGGGTTCGTCAACGTGCGAATCAGAGCACGTTGCAAATCTAAGCAACGTGCAAATCTGGGCAGTGCACCTGCATCGAAAGGCGAGTGCAGTTTCCGGAATGTAACCCATGCAGGGCTTTCGGGTTGAAAAGCGAGCACCGTATTCACTGTAGGTGGAAGTGTTGCTGAAGCAAAGCATAAGCATTGTGCGAATGCGAAGTGAGGCGTTGTATGTTTTCGTATGACAGAAAAACACAACGATCATAAGACTCGGCATTAGCGAGAGACGGTGGTGAGGTAATCGAGACCGCGACCACGCGCTTACCACAGACTGCGGTGGTATATTTTGTGGTCATGGTGCTCGTTTGTTCGAGATAGAACCCAGGCCGCGGCGGTTCGATGGTGGTTAAATGCTATATTGACCCGTGTGCTTAGGTTCAAGTGCACGCTGAAGAACCCCATGTGGGCGAAATTTTCATAGTCCTCCTTCATGGCGTATCTCACAATCATATCGAGGTAGAGCTCAGCATATAATACAATACCTAAAATTAGCTAAGCTTTCTCGACTCTCTTTGTATATTTCACTTGTGCGAACTCTGGCACATGGCCACTTCTTGTCTTTGGCATATCTGGCATTGCTTGTGTTAAGGCCCCACCTACTCATCAGCTTTCATTGATTGAGAAAATATTACCGATAGTCTGGGAAATGTCGGCGAGACAGGCGAAATACAAGCCAAAGAACACAGGACGTAGGCGAATAAACGAGACAAGGCGCTTACTTGTCAGTGTAGTGTGTTTGTAGCGTTGTGCATGAGGACGAATCAAACTTTTAGAGACTAATGAACAGTATGAAAAAATGAAGGTTTCGGGTGCGGATGGTTACGGATGCTGCGAATACGTCGTGTTTATGGCAGGTGTGTGGTTGGTGCGAAAGCAAGTGACTAAGATACGTTTACGTTTTCTACGAGAGTCAGGATTAAGCGATGTTTGATGAGCTGAATGATACATGAAAAGAGTCGCTGAAGCGGAGCGATTGCCAGCCAGATTTGCGAGGATACCCGCGCCTGCAGCAACATCATCACTACCAGCATGTGCACCTTTAGCACTATCGGGACAACTTCGATCATTGGGATCGAAGTTGCTTTGGCAGTACAGATAACCCCGTAGTTTTCCATCTTACACGTTTCCATTAAGAATGAGTCATGCTGTATAAACATACATACAGTACAACGCTAGTCGACTGCCATGTAAAAAAAAAGTAGGGCGTGTAGTGGCGTCGGCGTGAAGAGAACGAAAGAACGTCGACACGGTCGGTCGGCATCCCGGCTCTGCTTCCGGATGCTCCTTCTTCAAACTAGGCGCCACGTCTATGGAGTGGTGGCCTCTCAGAGACGCATGACACGGCATATATGCGGCACGGCTGGTCTATCTAACCTTGCACGAGTGAGCGACTACTGTACGGATGTGTTTGGAGGGAGTGAGGGGAAGAAAGAGAGGGGTATAAGGTGGCACACTGGCCGGGGCTGCGACTGTCTTCGCCCACCTTTATGTTTGAAAGAGTGTTTGAGAGACGGAGAAAGCGAGGAAGGAAGGAAAGGGTGAGACTCTCCCCGGTTCAGCCTCCAAAGTCGACCGCTGCAGTTCCTCAGACAAGCACAGTAGTCACTTGCTCATCAGGCAGTCGGTACGGTATCTGCTGTGACGTAGTGACCGATGTTCGAAGTCATCTGAATAGTGAGGTATCGCGTTAAAAAAAAACGATATATATGTCATCAACGTTACTCGAAGCTTCCAACGTGGCTGCTGCTGTGGCTTTATTCACCCTCGTTGTGTTTCAAGAAGTGCGAGAAACCGAGAAAACAAAGAAGGCAGCAAAGGGTGAGGTCATCCACGTTGCAGTCGACCAGCAGAAGCCTCAGCCAAACATTGCGACCCCTTGCTCATCAACCAGTGACACAGACTGGCGTTCTAAATCTTTCAGATAACGAGGAATTACGTATAAAAAGAAATACTCGGACTTATCTTTGATGCCTAATTAATCTGAAAGCTTCCAGCGCATGTTGCCATGACAAAGGGATGAGTCGTTCTTAAGAAAGATTTCGTTATCGTTTCTATTTTCTCCAGTCTGTTTTAGGATAACGGGCCCGTTCATGATCGACAGCTTATCGGCTTGGCTGGGCATGAAGAATTGAACGTTGTACTGTCACGAACTCGAAACGACCTGTTGGACCAGCATACAGTTCCATATCGCTGTCGAAAACGGCCTAAGCTGTCGCTCTCTGCAACGCCCCTTTTTCATTTCAATCGCTGCGCTCGCTAGCGACGCCGCGAAAAGACAGCGCCTCGGGTGCTCTGCTAAGCTCCTTGGAGTGTAACTGTTAGTTCGGCTGGCTAGCTGCTGGTTTTGCCCTAAGCTGACTGGAGGTGTTGTGTGGTGCAGGTGGCCTTTGAAGACTCGGGATTCGTGAAGGTTGGGTTGGAATCTGCAGTGTGAATATCGCGGTTCGCCAATGCCGCCGAGCTGGACGTGCATACAAGAGTTTGGTGACCATAATCAGCGGTGGAACGGGGATCACATGGTCAGTACTCGTTTACTTGTTGTTCTGTATTTCATCCGATTCGATAGATTGAGCCATTCTACGCCACTAATTAAGGATACACGCGTTAATTGGTTATGGGTGTGGGACTAGAGAAGCTGCTTGACGACCTTTTACCAGGCTCTGCGAGCCGCAAATAGTACTTTGAATGAAGGGATCCACCCACAGTAGCGAAGAAAAGGTATCTCTATTATAGTTTATTCCCCTATCTTTTTCTGCGTTGAGTTCTATACCAACACCGCACTCCTAGAGTGATGGTAGGCTCAAACTTTTCTTAACGCTCACGTCAGTACAGTCTGAATCACACTTGTCTGGAGCAGCCAGTCGATTGTTTGTCTCCCATCTTTCTTGCTTTTTCTTTTGCGAAAGAAATATGCAGAGACCGCTAACATAATGATACCAAGCGTAGTCGCATCGCATTCTGTAGGACACTGAGGTATAATTCAAGCATGAACGGAATCTTGTCGCTAACACGAGGTTGCAGCTGTGAGTGACGACGACAGCATTCATGTGAAGCACTCGACCGCTCTACAGAACTGTTGTAAAGACCGCACAATTCGTGAACCACACTTTTATTATTTTGCATGCACTACTGAAAGGTTTTCGAAACGTTTCAAACTTTTGAAAGCAAAATGCCCGAAGGCAGGCGTGAACACAAGTTCCGCCCACTGGAGGACGCGACGAGTGTGGCTTGAATCGAACACGGTCAAAAAAATTAGATGAATTAAATTTGCTGTGCGAAATAAACTTCCGTGCAAGAAAAAAAGTGATGATGATGAAACTCATCATAGTATTACGACAGAGATTCCACGACGAACGCTATAGGGCGTACGTATCATTAAAACAAAAAATTCGATGACAGAACAAGATACCAACACTGTTCGTGCACATTCACGTGATCTTGCTTACCACGCCGAGCGGCAAACGCACGACTGTACAACATGCATTGTCTTAAAATGACAACCTTCAACAGCTTATCAGCTTCAATCTACCGGTATGTGGGGATGGCGTTACACCACGGGATGTAGCGTGTGTACAACTGCAATCAGCACATAGAGAGCCATTTGATCGCGTCAGTGTCAGCGGTGCTACAATTTCATGACGTGACAACAGAGTAGATCGTTAGCACGACCTACATACACCTGAGATTGGTTTGGTGGGTGGTCGTCCCCTACAAACGCTTTTCGTTTGATCGTGTCGTCTTTCGTGCCCCGTAGAGTCATGGCACGGCTTTCCTGAATCGATCGCCACCGAGAGTAAAGATTTTGCAACTCTTGCATTGTGCAGCAAATCATACGTTGGTCTTTACACGATGTTCAGCATATAGTTTTTACTTTATTTTGTTGGCCTCATGTTTCGCATGTTTGTACCAACTTCTGCTTGTTTTCGCAGAACAACCCATTAAAAATTACCCAGTGAACAACCCATTAAAATTAAGCTGGCAAAACTAGAATGTTTATTCTACTTTACGAGCGAAATTCCTGGTGTATGTCATATAATGATGGTTTGGATACATAGACTTTTCTGAAATATACATTGCACATCCGTTTATGTGAAGTATTCAATGTACTGATAGTGTTCACCAAAGATTTAGATGACCTTGCTCTCTGGATTGGCTAGTTTGCTTGTCACTTGATTGTAGTGTCACATGAGTTTATTTGTGTGAACTAAGGTTTTTTTTTTTTTTAAGAAACGTTCTCTACTCCTCCTGTAACGTAAGCCTCTGCTGCTTTGATGCCACTCTTAGCCAATTCAACGCATGTGACTTCTTAACAGTTCACCGACGTTGTCATATGTAGTCGGCGCGGAACCAGTCAAATTCAATCAGCACATGAGCATTGAACTTTGGCGGTTGAATGATATGGACATATCATACGGAAATATTATACGGAATGATATGGGGTGATACGTGCTACCCTTTAAACGTGATGACGTTGTCGCGAGTGAAGACGTGAAACATTATTGGCTTGACTTCAAGAGGGCTCCTATGTGTTCCAAACAGTGAGCAGTGGTGGATATGGTTGGGTTAGGAATGTCGCTGGCACCAAATCTTAGCCAAGTGATCATGACTTCAGGGTAGCAATGGCAAAGCAGGGTCACTTGTAAGCAGCTAAGACTTGTCAAAAGAAAAGTGGCAGCCAAGACATGGCCACTTGTGAAAACGTTGGAAACAGCGACTCTCCGCGTTCTAGAATATTCATATCTTTAAGCCTGCGTATTCTTGTGAACTTGAAACAGTACGAAGTGTGAGCAATCTATACGACCTATATTCCTGTTACAGTGTAAAATCTTTACACGAATCGATCGTATACTGCCGTAATTCGATCGTTACGAATATCAGCAGTTTGGTCGACCTACCATTCATTTTAGTCCCAGGTACATCAACTCTTCTTTTCATGCTTCCGTGTAGAGCAGCACGATATAGAGTAACAGCTCTTGCGCCTGCTCTGCGGCTATTAGGGCAATCAACCTCAAGCGCTCACTTTGGCGAGCTCACCCAATTGTAGTCGTAATTAGCACTACTGCTAATTAGGTCTCGTGAACCTGGTGTCAAGAAGAGTCTGCCGCAGAGCGCACGAAGAAAAGACCAAGCTATACGGCTACCAGGGAGAGCGTTTGAAATCAAAGCCTGAAAGGACTTGCCCTAACCACTCAAGGTGGATTGTTTTGGCTTGTCTGCGACCACGCCGCTAAGCACCAGGAAGTGGAGTTGTTGTTTGTCGGTCGCCCCAGCTAACAGAGATAAAAAGTGTGAAAAAAAAATTAAACGGTTGGGGGTTGGCGTGAAGGCTTCACTTATCCAGGGTTGTACGGCGCTACGTACTACGTCCGTTAACCGTGTGTACGGCCTTTCCTTGTTGCGTATCGAAGGCGGAAAAGAGAAACGCGGCTTTGGGAGCTTTCGGGGTCCTACCCCGCGGGCTGCGGCAAGGTAAAACACTTCCTCGTGGAAGCCCTTGTAGAAGGGACGCGCACCCACAACTGTACGTGCAACTAGCGTGTCTGGGGCGGAACTAACTTCCTATGAGTGAGAAGAGAAAAAGAGGAGCAGGACATGGTTTTCAAGTTCTCGGGCCGGAAGGAAGTGTTTCGATGCCCGACGGGTCCAGGAAATAGGCGTGCTGTTATGTAACTGCGTCTTGTATTCGTACGCATGCGCGTGGTTTGCGATCGCGATATCGTTGCTCCGCTCGCTTGTATTTTTTTGCGTCCGCTGTTGACACCCGGCACCATTTCATCCGCAATCGAACAACCTCGTATACGCATCCCGCAGTTGCGTGCAGCGATACGCGGCTCTGCATGGGCAACAACGTAAATACCCCTCTATGCCTTTCGTTTCACGTGGTCTGTGCCGTTGACACCGTTTTATTCGCAACCGAATGCGCTGCACGCTCTGTTGCTAGCAGTGGGAGATGTAGGACGCAACGGGAGTGTGACGGTAGTAATCAACAACAAACAACGTTGTTTGGAATGAGGGTACTTTGCTCTTCCGCTGCGGAAGATGTTTTGACGCCGCCTCATTTCGTTTTATAAGAATCGTTCCAGAAGCTATGAACGATGGATAAAGTTTTGGCTTGGATTCCGTTGGCTCGATGGTGGCTTTATAAGCGAGAGCGTGGATAACACAAACGATCGAGATGCATAACGGAGCTGATCCTTTAATGTAACGCGTCAATATTGTTGATGTTCTTGTTATCGTTTTTTTTACTTGCATGTGCCAGAACGAATTAATGAAATAAAGCAGACTTGGATGCGGAAATACTAGCCGCCTGGCGCTGTCTTCGGATGTGCTGTGATGTAACACGTCCATTCGCCCCTCAGGCATATCTGAATGCGCTGCTCTACTCCAGCGCGCTGTTCGGTGTTGTATCTATGTAGCTTTACAAATGCTTCGCGTGGCGTCCTGTGAATGAGAGGCTGCGTTCACGGAATGCAGACCCAGTTTCGCAAGTGTGTTTTGATGCCAGCGATTGGGAGGCGTTACGGTCCTCCCTAAATGAACGTAAACTGCAAGAGCTTGCGTGGAGTAGCTGTAAAGTCTTCTTTGTCTTGATGATGCTGATTCCGCCATTCTCAGCTAAACTTCACGTACACTCCTATACATACTTCCTTGAAGTTAAGCGTGCGTTTACGTTGTGTTTAGCGTATAATACTCTCACGATGACGGCACGTTGACGAACTTGAGAATGCTGGAGCCTGTTGATGGGGAGTTATGCGCACAAAAGATGGGACACAATACAAGGTCTGTCTGTGCTCCTTTTCGTGTCCTGTCTTTTGAGCGCGTACCATCCCCATCAAGACAATGACGAAGGAAGGAGTCGGCGTGACCAGTATCAAACTCTTTATTTGACCGAACATGCGGGCGGGAAATGGAAAGTCAAACTGCAAGCGATGCACGCTGTGGATTCATACCGGCGAACAGAGCGTCGGCTTTTCGATAATCTTCCAAGCCAGTGAAGCATGTAGGCATTTATACATGTGGTATCGAAGATTCCAGCGTTATCGCTTGCGGTTGCAAATTCCAGAGCAATCTCCAACCAAGGTGGACGATTGGGCGAGTTGGTGATTCATGATCGTCCTTGTATCTTCTTGTCGTCCGTGTTTACTACCGCGCAGTTACATACGTCGATCAATCTCCAACGTTCATGTGATGAGCGTTATCAGATCAGAAGGCTCTCCCGTCGTTTGGGTGCACCGCGATTTACGCAAGGCAGCAGTTGCACGTGTAATGGGGTGGTATATGAGAAAAAAGTAGAATGATTGATATGTGGGGTTTAACGTCCCAAAACCACTACATGATTATGAGAGACGCCGTAGTGGAGGGCTCCGGAAATTTAGACCACTTGGGGTTCTTTAACGTGCACCCAAATCTGAGCACACGGGCCTACAACATTTCCGCCTCTATCGGAAATGCAGCCGCCACAGCCGGGATTCGAACCCGCGCCCTGCGGGTCAGCAGCCGAGTACCTTAGCCACTAGAC